ATGCAAGCAGAAATGGAGGAACAGGAGTTTACATTTAGCATCCAAACAATACCAAATATGTGGCCAAAATACTAACATGAAAGGACTGTGATAACTACGATGCAGAAGTTTAAATTATTAGAATTGCAACAGAGAAACTGCTAACTGTACGTCATATTTCACAGGATGCAGGAGTGGTACTTCCGGCACTCAAATGTGGAAAATTATGTGGTTTATGGACACTAAGAGTCGCCTTAGTGGAGCGACTGGAAGCTCGCCGTGGTGGAGCGACTAGAAGCTCGCCGTGGTGGAGCGACTAGAAGCTCGCCGTGGTGGAGCGACTGGAAGCTCGCCGTGGTGGAGCGACTGGAAGCTCGCCGTGGTGGAGCGACTGGAAGCTCGTCGTGGTGGAGCGACTAGAAGCTCGCCGTGGTGGAGCCACTAGAAGCTCGCCGTGGTGAAGCGACTGGAAGCTCGCCGTGGTGGAGCGACTGGAAGCTCGCCGTGGTGGAGCGACTGGAAGCTCGCCGTGGTGGAGCGACTGGAAGCTCGCCGTGGTGGAGCGACTGGAAGCTCGCCGTGGTGGAGCGACTGGAAGCTCGCCGTGGTGGAGCGACTGGAAGCTCGCCGTGGTGGAGCGACTGGAAGCTCGCCGTGGTGGAGCGACTGGAAGCTCGCCGTGGTGGAGGGACTAGAAGCTCGCCGTGGTGGAGGGACTAGAAGCTCGCCGTGGTGGAGCGACTAGAAGCTCGCCGTGGTGGAGCGACTGGAAGCTCGCCGTGGCGGAGCGACTGGAAGCTTGCCGTGGTGGAGCGACTGGAAGCTTGCCGTGGTGGAGCGACTGGAAGCTCGCCGTGGTGGAGCGACTGGAAGCTCGCCGTGGTGGAGCGACTGGAAGCTCGCCGCAGATCGGAAGGTTTTTTTTTTCTTCAAACATGACCTTGGCTGCCAGGTCGACCCAGCCTTGTGTGGGTACCGGGTTCAGTCCCAGAAGTAGAGGTGGCCGGCGTGATGCTGACCACATCACCTATCATGTGCCGATTGGCAAACAAAAAATATGTCTAGCCCTTAATGCCCTATACGCCTAAAGGCATACTTTTTTTTTATACGGACACTACAATCCAGACTAGGCAAACAGGGTAAGGATACCCTGGATACCATCCCCCCGTAGAGTTCCAGAAATGAGAGAGCTAATAAACTAGCTAAGGAAAGTACAAATGAAGAACAACCTGATGGACCAGTCTCTTATCCACAGAAGAAGGGAATGATTAAATCAGTCAGAAAGTCACCTAACCTAGCACAAGACCATTGCCACATTATGGACAGACCACCAGAACAAGTCATTATTCTGCGCCTTAGAACAGAACACAGTCGACTTCACAGCCACATCAACACATAATGTAGGATTGGCGAATCCGCCACATGCACATATGGATCGACACATGAGACAACAGATCATGTCCTCCAAGACTGTCCCAAATACTACATTTCCAGGCAAAACTTTTGGCCAGGAGAAACATCTGTGCAAGCCAAACTTTACTGGTTGCTGAGTGATTTACAAAAGACAGTGAAGTTCATCCTAGAGACAAGTGAATGAAAGAAGAAGAAGTTAGAATGTCCAGTTGATGACCTGGAGCTTTTGTGGAACAGAACAATATGCCATCATATTGCATGCAAACAAAAGTATATACAAACATTCTAGATAGATTGGAGATGAACAGGCTTGATGAAAAGAATAAACAGAACCCAAGTTAAACATTTTCCATACACGAAAAGCCATGGAGGTACACAACGATACAGATGGGAAGCCAACATCAAGAGCATATTTTCAAAGTATACAAACAGGGTGAGAGGCAGGAAAGGCTGAAGATCAGTTTAACCCACTTTCTTTGTGGAGATGGCACCTGATTGATTGATTGCCATGTCTGAACTTTAACCTCGTGGACAAAACACATTTTCAAACATTTATACAACATTGCAGTAATCCATTGCCTCTTAAGGGATGAGTGAGGACACACACATAATTATCTTGAGTGCTTTTTGAAAGCATACTTTAAATGGCACCCTGACGGTTGGCTAATTTTCTCTAAACTCTGGGATCTGGCCTGTCGGTTACCTCCTGCAGGCGGGCTGTTGAACTGATTGTTCCTTTGCATGACTGGGAATTGTTATACAGAGTGATGTGTTTCATTGTACTCTCTGTCTATTTCTCTGTTTCTCTGTCTCCCTATCTCCATGTCTCTCTATCTTTGTCTGTTTCTCTCTGTCTCTATATTTGTTTGTCTGTCTCTCTGTCTGTCTCTCTCTTCTCTCTCTCTCTCTCTCTCTCTCTCTCTCTCTCTCTCTCTCTCTCTCTCTCTCTCTCTCTTCCTCTTTGTTTTCTTTTTTTCCTCTTAGTGTATAATTCTTTCTTTCACATGCATGCATATTCTAACTCTAAGACATACAAATCGGCATGTGGTGCGTAGTTGAGAGAGAACAGGAGAGAAAGATAGAGAGAGAGAGAGATGAATCTGTTTACAAGTAAAGGACCTGTTTCATGCCACACGTGATATAGGGTATATGATACTAGACATATATGTCAATAGACCAGTAGACCCAGGACAATAGGTGGTACCCATTGTAGACTGGTTGACTTCAGAGCCAGGGTCAGTTGTGAAAATCGATCTCGATATAGATTCAAACTCAAGACATTTGTTGCTTCAGGCAGACATCTGACACCTGCACCACTGTGGCTTCCCTGTGCAGCTTTTTTTAAATATCAGATAACTGTTTGTCACAGTGGGATGAATTCAAGAGAAATGAGTTGAGTTGAGTCAAGAATTTACATCACAGCACTCAGGGCATTCACATGTGTGCTCTGTCCTCATCTTCAGCAGCCAGTGCAGAGTTCAAATACTGATTGTATCAGTCACAATCTGGTTATATGTCCGTTTTGCCTTTCCTCTGAGTGTAGTGAGCCGGCCAGACCCTCTGGTTACAGCCAGGTGCCTCATTCTCTCCAGGCCATAATAATCTTCTTTCTCTACTAATTAAGTTGCTTTTTCCCAAAGGACCTTGACCACATCTGCCCTACCATGTATCAATTCACCACCAAATGGTGCAGATCCAGCCAATGTGTCTGCCTGTTCATTACCCACTACGCTGACATACCCTGGAGAAAAGATGAATGAAGAAGTAATAGAAATTCTAGGCTAGTATCAGCAATAGTAGGATAGAGAAGATAGTGTTATATTGAACACATTCTGAGAAGAGAAAAAAAAAGAGAATCATCAAACAGGCACTGAAATAGGAAAAAGAGGTATTGAGAAAACGAGGACGTCAAAGAGAAACCGTAAAACAAACATTAAGGAGAATAACCAATAGGAACTGGACTGGATTCCATCCATGGTGTGGTAGTAATTGCACAGGATTGAATGGAATGGAGAAACAGACTGTGAGCCCTGTGTAACGTAATGAAACCACAGGACAGTGAGTGAATGAAACTATTTCTCACAATTAATGAATGTGTTTTTCTGTTCTCAATATCCAGGGTGCATTTCTCATATGTTGATGAGCATACCAAGGTAATGGGACGTTTCTCAAACATTTCCCCCTTCATCTTGACTGCCGTCTTCTTCTTCTTCCTTTGCATTTGCCCTTTGAAGGATGGTGGACACCCGCTGTGTGTGGAGTTTATAGCAAAGTTTGGATATCTGTGCTTTTTGGTCCAAGACGACTCTTTTTGGCAAACCCTAATTAGTTGCCTTTTATGATGTGTATGTTGGGGGTGGGGGGAGCGCAGTGGATCTGTTCATATTTCACTTAGAAGGGGCTCAAGAGCCCTCAGGGGGGTTTTGAGTGTCCCAGTTTGCATGTAGTCTGTGAAAACAGGAAGCAAAAAAACTGTAGCAATCACTGCCATCAAGTGTCTTGCCTTGGCAAGGGCTTGTATTCTTCCCCGTGGCTTCACTTCTCCAGCAGAAGGTGCCCATTCTTGTTGTAATCATTGTTTCATTGCATTTTGCAGGACTATCCAGAATCTTCTGTCATTATCTTTCTCATTGTCATTCATTGTGAATGTTAAAGATAAAAATACTCTCAGTGCACTTTCTGCCACTGAGGTATGAAGTGTTAAGTCTTCACATATTCTAGATCATGATTTACAATAGGGCTATTCAGCTGGCAGTCTGCGGTCCAACTCCAGCTTGTAGAGGCCTAACAGGGGATCTGAGCACTTATGGGGTGATGGTTCGATATGTGATGATGATAATCTGTTGACTAACTATCTAACTAACTCAGATTTCAAAGGAAACATAGTAATCTTTATGCTGTGCTTATTAGGAGACAGTGTGTCTGTCTCCCCCCCCCCTTTTTCCCCAAACAGGGCCCTAGAACCCACACAGGGAAGTTGTTTTAGTTCAGTTCTCTAAGACTCAGAATATTGTTACTACAGTGACCATGCACAACTGTCCCCTATACAAACAGTTAAGAAGACAAATCTGACCAAGACTCAACACCATACGTAAAGCTGAATGGAACTAGAGGGAAACTCTAAAAGACAGGCACCGTAAACACTTATCTGTCAGCGTGAATCAAGGATATGATCATGAGAAGAAGAATGTACCCACATATATGTGTTAAAATAACAGCTGGTTTTGACTAGCAAGTTAATGTTACTGGCAACAAAAACATCATGTGTGTGTCAATGTCCACAGACCTGCTCCACAGTATACATGCCATTGGCAAGTCTGGAAAGAATGTTTTCAGCATTGAGGAGAAGGCATCTGGGCTGGATTCAATTGACCCACATCATCCAGTTTATGGGCTCAAGAAAGATCTCATCAGGCTGATCACAAACATGGTCTATAAACACAAGGGCAATCAAGATTTGGTAATTCTTCACTTGTGACTCAAAAACATATTAGTGTTGTTCTTGCCTGTTCCCGTGTCAGTTCAGGTACCCTGTTTGTTGGAGAGAAAAATACAAGACTCAGTGCTACTTAAGAAGTCTTTTATAAATGATGTAAAAAAGTAAAGGACCCTTTTCCACACCATGGGCATATAGGGCTAGACCAATATTTTTATAGACCATTCGGAACAAGGTGGGTGATGTGGTCAGCGTCACGCCAGCCTCCTTTACTTTCCCGGGACTGCACCCGGTACCCACTCAAAGCTGGGTCGACCTGGGAGCCAAGGTCATTTTTTAAAAAAGTCCGGCTCCGCTAGGGAGCAAACCCATGACCTTCTGATCCGCGCTGAGCATCTAGCCGCTCGGCCACGGCGACTCCCTTTGTAAATGATGACTACTTAAATATGAAATATTTGCAAAAATGGAATGTGTTGGAACATAACGACAATATATCCGAGTTTCTTTTTTCTTTTTAGCATTCGCCAGCAATAAACTCTGATGAAAAGTTCCGGTTGTTTGTCCACCTCTTGACTTTGGTCTTGTTCCAGAATGTCAATTTTGCATTCCCCTTTGTTTTTCAAATTTGGCTTACTTGTATCCAGAGTGTTGGTTCCTTGTCTCTGAGGCAGATACACTCTGACTTTAGAGGAATATCATAGCTGTTAACCACAACACAACTTGCCAACTGTGATTTGAAGGACAATGCAGAAGTAGAAGTATGCCCACAATAGTTCCAACAGATTCCAACAGTACCTGGTGTAGAATATTTACATTAATAAGTATAAATTGTCAGTAGAATAATTTTTTTAAAGATGTTCAGATTTGTTTTTGTTTTTTTTATTATTTTAATTTTTTTCAGATTATTTATAGCAGATTTATAGATACACAAAGCAAGCATTGCCGAGCCCAGTACTTTAAAACTGAGTTGTAACAATAGAGGTTTTTGTCAAAACATATTACACTAAATTACTGCATAGGATAAATCAGATTAGACCTGAGGTTTAGGAAATGGTTTCCAGGGTCCACATTTTGAGGCCAAATCTGTAAAATGTATGTCCACATAAAACTCGGTTTCTTGAACAAGACTAAATTCTAGATTTAAATAAACCACCAGAACTTCCTGGTGGAGTTTTCATCCAGTAAACGCTAAGAAGAAGAAGGAAAAGACAACCTTAGGTCATTTCATCTCTTATTGAAAATATCATGGACAGATAAAAAGAAAAATGAATATATCTTGAAGAATAATTCCTCTTAGTTACCTGGTGAGTAAAGCCTGACCAACTACACATAGGAACAGTCATAAAGGTACATTAGGATGACTACAGCCTACAACAACATTGATTGTGATAATACCACAACAAAGGACAAGAAGAATCAGGGTGTATAATTGCTTATTAATTGTCAGTACTGAGGCAAATAAAAATAAAGGACCCTTTTCCGCATCTATATTTTATAGACTAGTCGACACTTAGTGATTAATTATGTCAGCATCACACAGGTCACCTTTAATTCCCAGGACTCCACCTGGTACCCACTCAAAGCTGGGTCGACCTAGGAGCCAAGGTTATTATTTAAAAACATCTGGTACCGCCAAGACCTGAACCTATGACCTTCTGATTCGCAGGCAAGCATCTAGCTCCTGCTTGGGCATCTAATAGTGTGAAAGAAATTTTGAATTTAAATTATATCAACTTTGTTATTACTTAACAGTTTGTAAACTCTCTTTTCAGGTAAGAACACTTGAAGGAATCCCGTTACTTTTGGATCTGACCAGAATTGACTGCCATAATCCTTGTATCCTTGCTTGTAACAATGGTATCTTCATATTTCATGTTTTAGACTTGACTTCAGCTGAGTGGTGCCAAGCCAAATAATTTCTGTGTGACCAAATGATTGCATGCATTTGTGCACACACACACATACCACCCACACACACACGCACACACAGACTGACTGACTGACTTGACTACTGTGAAAATGTTCAGTTTAATTCCCTAAGAGAAATTTCTGCAGCACTGTGTATATTTATGTTAGTTAGTTAGTTACTTGCTTATCCTTTTCAGGACGTCGGAGAACCAACCATAGCATTTTTTTGGCTGTTGCAGTTTTTCAAGGCACAGTTTTATGTTTAGTAGTTTGCTATTGTATATTTATATATGCATTAACTCTTTGAGTCCCAAGGGGTTTAGCATCACAGGCCCAGGGGGTAGTAAAGAAAGTACTAAAATCGGCCCATCATGCGTTCATTGGGCTTCTAGGTAGGAACCTATGAACGTATGATGCGTTCCTAGGGACTCAAAGAGTTAAAAAAAATTAGCATTGTGAGGTAGCTACACCGCAGGGTTCCACGATGCAGACCACAAAGGCAGTGGAGAGATCATACAAAGTCTGGCCTACAAACATCTGGAATCGCTAACCAAAAAAAAAAAAAAAGGCCAGACCCAGAGATAAATTGTGACTAATGATATCTGCAGAGTGTACCTCAGGGGAAGAAAACCTTTACACTTCAATGTAGAAGAGGAATGGCCGTCTGTGAAGCAAATCAGCATTTATCCTGTAGAAAGGGTATGAAATGCTCAGATTTTCAAGTGGAGCTAGTAGAGGAAGCAATCAGATTTGTTTTTGTCTGTGACTTCCTTATTAAAGTTGAACATAAGCAATTCCCTATTATTTGAGCCTGAAACTTCATCTGCTTTTTATCTCCCTGAAGAAAAATAATCCCTCTATTGACCCTCACAAAGCCTTTTTGTTGGATATTGCAACTGGATCCTTCTATAGGAGTAGGTAGCCAGGCTTATTCACAGCCTCTTGTGTTGCTAATGAATACCTCAAGCGCACTGTACTTCTTTGTGACCCGTGCCTGAATAGATGCATAGCAAATGTTGATTATTGAAGAATAAGTTATCAGATTAACATCTTCCTCTCTTTGTGGGTTCTTGTCCAGCTCCCAACTTGGGAAAAGGGGTGGGGGGGGGGTGTGTGTGTGTGTATATATTTATTTATATATATATATATATATATATATATATATATATATATATATATATATATATATATATATATATATATATATATATATATATATATATATATATATATATATATATATATACAGTCGAGTCTGGATAAGTAGAAGTTGCAGGGACTTAAGAAATGCTTCCACTTATCAGGATTTTTACTTATCCAGACAGTACACATGTTAGAGAAAATCGTTGGGACTAAGCTGGTCATGTCAACTTAGCTGAAATTCGACTTATCCGAGTTTGACTTAAGTGGACTCGACTGTATATAACTACTGTCCTTTTATTTATTTGTCTGTACAAACAACTCTGGCATCATATGTTAATTCATCAGTGGCCTAAAAAGGCCACTTACCTACTGCTCCCCAGCAAGCATGTCGTAAAGGATGACTTATTATAGAAATAAGATGTGCAGGGCCAAACGGTGCAGATATGGCAGCCTAGCTGTAAACCACAACACAACATGTCAGCTGACCTTCTGAGAATAAACACAAAAGAAGACTGTAATGTAGTTAATTCCATGTCATTTTTCTGTAAACAGAGTAGAAGATAATCAGATCATTGCTTTGTATGTAAACTAGTGTGGGTGATCATGCTTCTCTATGTCTGGCTACCTCTAGAAGCATGTATCAGGTTGTGTTGACACTTCATACAATGACATAAGGCTGACAAGAATATTCTCTCCTTGTCTTCCTTCAACCCTTTCACTTTGCAAACGAGAACAAAAAGAATCATGAGCTAGTTTGAATTCCTGAAAAAAAATCCCTTTAAAAAAATATGTTTTTTAATACAGATCCTAATAAATGTTTTTCAAATGTATTTAGTTACATTCCCTAAATCCCCCCCCCCCCCCCCCACACCAAAATATATCAAGATATAATAAAGAAGTCTTCTTCTTCTTCTTCTTCTTCTTCTTCTTCTTCTTCTTCTTCTTCTTCTCGTTCACTGGCTGCAAACTCTGAAGGAAAGTTCTGATTGTTCATTCACATCTAGAGTTTAGACTTGTTCTAGAACCTGAGTGCTGTGTGCACATCCTTGTCACAGATGTGGCTTATTTGTATGCAGACTGTTGGTTTTTGTGCCTCTTAGGCAGATGGACTCTGACTTCAAAGGAAACCCCCCAAAGAGTCGGCTCTTACCATATGCTTGTTGGGGAGGCAGTGGGTCTGTTCTTGTGTCCCCCACAATGAAGCCCGGAACCCACACGGGGAAATAAGGAAGTAATCAACAAACACAAACAGAGTGAAGCATTCAATGGAATACATTCCCTGGGGCCTAACAAGAATATGTATCGGGCAACTCATGCTGTGACCCCATGACTCTAGCACTGAGGCTGTGGAGAACAATTGAACATCGGCATGGCTTTAATACCCTGTCCTTCCCAGATTCTATTTGCGGTCAGTATATTCATATCCTGACCTTCCAGATGCTGTGCAGGTGCCTAAACACAGTCAGTGGCATTAAGTACTGTATGCCCCTCCAAAAACAATGTACAAGTGCCAGATAAGTAGAATTTATGAGGAATTGGTCCATACCAAAAGTACTGGGTTTGCAGCTTCCTAGGGACAAAATGGTTAACTCTCTTTCCATTCACTCTCTTTCCATAAAAATGTCCAGTTTTAATAACACATTCAAGCTTTGCTTTTCTCAAAATGTAGCCACAAAATGACGACTGCTTCTTTCTGATGCTTGAAGTTAGTTGTCTTTGTGTTTCAGCCTCTTTCAATAATTCAGATTACCTATTTTGACTGTCCAAGGAATTTTTAAGCATTCTGTAAAACATCTCTGAGATCTCAGGATGTAATCAGTAGAAAAGTATCAGAAGTCATTCAACATCATATAACATTAAGATTGTTTATCAGCAACTGTCATTTATACAATATACATTTCATGAGCACATAGTATATTCCTTTACCAAACCTTTTCAGTTATAACCCAATGGGTTGTGCTGGCCATTCGGAATTTAGTGGAAAATAACAGGGAAAACAGAGATGTCCTTTCTGGCATGTCCCTTCAGGGGATGGCCGGTCACATGGCTGCCTTGCGGGAGGTCGGAGTACACACTGAACTACGCGGTGGGAAAATTGTAGTCAAGCCAGTGGACGATTAATTCTGGTATATGATTTTTTTTTTTTATTTAATTAACTTGTCACTGTTATTTGATTCAAATATTGTTGGTGTTCTCTGCCATTATTTATTTTCTCTAGAGCCTGTTTTGCATTTTGTTGTCAGGTTTTGGATATACATCTGGTGCAAGCTTTGGTGTGTACTGTACAGAGACTGGTATTCATTGCCACAGATATTCCATTTATCTATTACTTGCGTTGGTGACCTCTAGCTCTATCTTGGGTGTGTCTGAGTGACAATGCTCATTCTCATGCACTTTCGTGTAGTCCTGCAAAGTTTCTGGGGAAAGAACAACTGGCCAGCACATGAAGCGTAGTATATAAAATGCAGATAAGAGCAGTTGTCTTATATGGCTCGGAAACCTGGAGTGCTGCTAAAAGATGAGACAAATTACATATCTTTTAGAGTATAGTCTTGCAGTGAATGTTTGTACACATCAAAGATGCAAACATGGGAGAATGGAGAGTAGGAAGCAACAACAAAACTCATAATCTTTTTAAAGCACCACTAATTACACGCTTAAGAAGGGCTATCAGATTTCAGATGAGAATGCCAGATGACAGAGAGACAGAAACAGCAAACACAAAGGGAGTTAAAAAGGAACAAACCATGAGACAGAACGGGAAGACAGTGAATAGAAAATATACCCACACCTACAGACACTTGGAAAGAGAGGCCCAGCCACAAAGATAAATGCAAGCATTGATATCTGCACCAATGAACCTCAAGGGCTCAGTATGCCGAAGAAGAAGAAGGGTGGCCTGCATGTTATTGACATTACCCTTCCAATGTTGACTAGCTATTTAAAAAGAAAAAATATGTGACTACAACTGAAAACCTAGCACACTTCATTGGTCACAGGGGATCTTGTTCTAGTTTTAGTTTACTATACAGCCTTCGTGTTCTGGGTTTATTCCTCAGGAGAGGCTCACAATAACATGTAAGATGGAATACAGCTACTCCTTGCCTCATATAATAATAAAAATCCTTTATGTGCTGCAGACAAACCCCAGCATTTATTAGCTATCTGCAGCTGTTTCACAAGGCAATTTTGTGTTCAGTTGAGCTGAGTTAACCCTTTGGAGATGGAGCTTTTTTTTTTGGAGTTTCAGTGCCAAGAAGACGGAGCCTGAAGGAGGGAGTTCTGTTGGTGTGTAAACCAAAATCATAAAAAATAAATTATTTAATTAACCTATACACTGTCACACTGACATCTAAAACATTTGTCCAAGTAAGCTGCCAAACATGACTAAATTGAACAGTTTGGCTTTTAAAAAAAAGAAGACTGGATAAGTCCTAATACTTGTGTTATGGGAAGCAAGGCCCTCCAGACACTTCTGGCACATGGTTCTGCTCCTTTTCATTTTACATTTTGGTTGCTATGACAGTCATTGTTGGGCACAGGTAACCCCCAACCACCCAACAAAAGCTGCCATTGAACAGCCCACATATGCAAGAAATGCGAGAAGTAATCTGATTAGCTAGTATAAGACCAGCCAGCCAATCTAAATGCTTATATTATTGATCCAGCAGGTCGACCCATCCATCTTTTTGGCTACTTTGCTGTTGGGCCGATAGATCGGCACAGTCGTCCCCAAAGGGTTAAAAATCAAAATCACAGCACTCAGTACATTCCTGTTAGTACTTTGTCCCCACCTATACCACCCAGTGCATAGTTCTGTGATATACCAGTCAAAGTCTATTGTGTGTGCATTCACAGTTTCCCCTGTTTGAGCTCTGTGTGGATAGTCGATAAGCGAACGCTTGCGTAATGCCGGGATGCCGGGTTCGACCCCAGCTGCAGGCCATGCACCTTGCGTTGGTTTTGACAGTGGTATCAAGAAAGCTGATCGTCCAGAAAGCAATGGCAAACTACTGGATGTAAATTTGCCTAGAAAACCCACACAACAGCCAGGGACTGTTGGGGTTGGTTCTGCAGTGCCCTGTAAAGGAGACGCAACTAACCTATTCTTAACTCCTAAGCCAGGCTGTGAAAACATTGATGATTTCACAACCCACATAATTTGATGCCGGGTTCGAATTTTTTTTTTTTTCAAGAAAGCTGACTTTAACATTTTTGCAGCTTTTTGTTTGTGTGTTTCACAACCCCTAAGCCACATGATGGAAAAAGAAACAGTGAATACTTTCAAGAAACCCACATGGCAACAAGAAACATCCAGAATTTATACAGAGTGCACAGTACAAGTACAGTGCACTGCTTGCAACACTAGTCATCTATCTGCTTCTTGTACTTCAGGAACAGTTCACTCAACAAGCAGAATGAGGGAAAGAAAGCCCTACACATTTCTAAGTGGACAAATGTGCATGTGTGGATGTTCATGTATTAATGCCATTGGGACTCTTAATTTTGCCTTCTTTTCAGATCTGAGTACATTGTTGAGTATTTATGAGCTGAAAATGTCTGTGAGATAACTGTACTGTAACATGGGGTTGTCATAAAGTCATTACACAGTTTTTTTGCACTTTTATTCTTAAAAGAGAAGAGTTGCTGTCATGAGTGAGAACAGGTTTGAATCCTCAGGAAGGTTGTGGGATTTTGTTGTTGTCAGTAACAATAATAACATCCTAATCTTTGCAGTCAGTGGCTGTTGTACTAGCCATATGGCTCTAAATCCTGTAGGTCAAGACCTCTTCCCCCACCACTAAGTCCTGCACTGCCCTAAACAAACAGGTTAAATACAGATAGTAACAGATAATTTTATAGACTGTTCAATGGTTTGTCATTTCCAGTGTTTATAACTATATCGCTATTTTATCATGAGCATTTAAAAAACAGTTATAAAGTATATTCAGTCAAGAGGAACACAATATTCATAACATTTTGTCGCCTTGAATATCTTGCTGCTATCAAAAATGTTTTGAAATGTCTTCCTTCTTCTTCTTCTTCTGCTTCTTCTAATTAACATTCACCGACTAAACTTTGTGGAAAGTTCTGGTTGTTCATCCACTTCTGCACTTTGGTTTATTCCTAAAACTTGAGTTTTAAATGCACATTCATTTTAAAGATCTGCCTGTTGGTGATTTCTGTTAATCAACTTTTATCACATGCTTGTGTGTGGGGGGGGGGGGGGGGGGGGGGTCAGTTCTTTTAATTTCATGTGCACTACCGCCAATTTTACTTTAACCTTTTCTGTCCCAGTTGTTATAACTCCAGTTCTCTAGAACTAAACTTGTATTAGTTGAAGAAGCAACTCAGGTTAAAAAAGGCTAAAGTTACAGCATCCTGGTTCTGGAAGAGTTAACAGTATTTTTAGTGCTTTATAACCTTGTAGAACTGTGCAGTGATTTTATGTACACCCTGAATATTGCTCACTAATAACATTGATTGCATAATATGTTATCTAACATGTTTGTTAAAAAAAATATTTGATTTAATTGAGAATGATTATGACTTTATTTAACAAAAGATGAAAGCATCTTGGTGGTAAAATAAATCAAATATTAGCATCTTGCCATCTTCTTTTTTCCTCATTCCAATTGATGAGTGGAGTGCATCACTCTTAGTTATATATGTGTATAATTCAAATGTTAATGTATAACTTCATGATTTGTTTGTTTTAGATTTACTATCTCTAGACCCACCATGCGAATTCAAGACCCCCCCCCCCCCATATTAAAGGGGAAAACATAGGCCCACTGCCACATTAACATGCTTGTCATAAAAGGTGATTATTTGCTTAATAAAGATGTTTAGCTGAGGGATATAGAGTTATTGATTGCTCTATAGAACAGTACAACATACCAGCTGCCCCTTTTGGAACAAACACAGAAGAACTTCTTGTAGGTAACATTGATCTCTAAATCTTAGGGGTTGTGAATACATTTTCACAATTCTGACATACCAGTGTTCAAATTCAGCAGAAGGCTTTTTATAATCGACTGCTCTGTGTTGATCCCGACGTGTTGATCCCAACGTGTTGATCCCGACAGGATTATTATTAATAATTAATATTAATAATTATAATTTTACATAACTGACAGCTCATGTGTTATTCAAATGCAGTGTTGTTTAGAAAGATGCGCAACATTTTAGGATACTAAAACAAAAAAGCAGGACACATTTTTGGGGGGGGGGGGGGGGGGGGGGGGGGGGGGGGGGGGGGGGGGGGGGTGCGGGAGTATTCTTCTCTTTCTTGTCTCTTAAATGAGATGTTTCTTGCATTTTTTCATTTAGTTATCTTTTTTTTTTTTTATGATAGTTTTTAGATTTCACAGCATTATTGCTGACAGAACAACCTGCTATCTTAGGTCAGCAGTTTGTTTTCTGTCAGATCCTTTTTTGAAGTGGTTTTCCATTTTTTAAAAATAAAATAAAGTTTCTAAAGGAAACCTACTGAGTGCTGATGAAGTGAATGTCTGGACGATATTCAACACATGCGGATAAAAAGAGTTTGATTTTTAACCACCATCAGTATGATAATTCTTCAGTGGCTACTGAGGAAAGAGACAGAGCATGTGGGGAGGAGTAGTGTCAATTCTTGATCCATTCATTTCAGAAAAAGGAAGGGTTGATAATCTGATGTATTACATCTGTGTGTAGAAGCTAAAGAATACAGAATTGATCATCAAGAGATGTATTACATTTATGTGTAGAAGCTAAAGAAAAATTAAAAATTAATCAGCTTACTCTAAGTAATGAACTACATCTGTATGTAGAAGCTAAAGAAACAAGAATTGATCAACTAACTCCAAGAGGTGTATCTGTATGTAGAAGCTAAAGAAACAAGAATTGATCAACTTACTCCAAGAGATGTATTACATGTATACATAGAAGCTAAAGAAACAAGAATTGATCAACCTAATCCAAGAGATGTATTACATGTATACATAGAAGCTAAAGAAACAAGAATTTATCAACCTAATCCAAGAGATGTATTACATGTATACGTAGAAGCTAAAGAAACAAGAATTGATCAACCTAATCCAAGAGATGTATTACATGTATACGTAGAAGCTAAAGAA